GTCATGCCACCGCTTATGGAGCCCTCACACCACTTTGCCCCTTTTCAGTTCTTTGTCTGCATCCCGCTGTGGTTCTACAGAGCCCCACCATCGGAAGCCTCTGCACACACAGGCATGCCCCGCCCCATTCACCCAGAACTACTTCTCTGAAGCTGAGACGCACATAGGTGAGACAGACAAAGGCAGGTGACCCAGGAGCAGGGTCATTCACTCATTTCGGGCAGGGGAGCTCACGGTCCTCAGCAGCCTCCGTGAAGGCTCCCCCCGCCCCCCACCTTTACATCCACAGTGCTGGAAGGTCTGTCCCCACCACCACTCCAGAGTGCAAGAAAGGGAGAGGCAGCGGGATGGGGACTCTGTGCTTTGTATGCAGGCTGAGCTAAGAGGGCCCATCTCCATCCCAGCCTTTGCGAGGGAGAGAAGGGGCTTCCCAAGGGCAGGCATTATCTGCTCTCCACCAGGATATCCAGGGTCAAGACTTCCCTGGCTTCTGAACTTGGGGCCCACACACTCCCACCCGAGCTTCCACTATTTTGTGACACATGAAGCTACATGACTGCGGCAGTTCCTGGAGCCTGCATGGAGGTATTCAGTCCTATCACGTCTCTGCACACTTTCTTCCTACAGCTGCATAAAGTTTGAGGTAGAGAGTAAGTAGTAGAAAGATGGGTTGAACCATGTCTCTGAGTGGGATCTTCGTAGGTTTTCTCATCTTGTTTTTAGAATTTTTTGTTGTTTGTGTAAAGACAGTATTTTGGAAACATAAGTTTCAGTGAAGGAACTCAGGATGAAGGTGGGCTTACAACACCACTCTCAGAATCCCTCCACATCCTGTCACTTCTAGAAAACAAGCCCACACCAAGCACGACACAAATAAAAGCCATTACCCGTTTATGGGGGGAAAAAGCGATATTTATTTATTGTGGAACATTAAATGTTCTGGGTGTAAGAACATGAGAGAAAATATTTTTTCTTTACATAGAGTGATTTCTTTTCTTGGTGACTTGTTTTTCTCTAGGAAATGCTGAAAAAATAATTTGTGATTGACCAGATTAGATACCTTCCCAAAGAAGACAGTGCTTTGGACAGTGGGGATGGTGGCTGAAGGCACCGGGTGTCTTCAGTCCGCCCTGAGGGGCACTGACTGGGGAGACAGCCTTCTTGGGGAGCAAGGGATGGAGATGTCGCCGACCCCATTGCTCATTGTTGCACCGGACGCTTTTCAAGGGCTGTTGATCTCTGATGTGCCTCTCTCTGTTGGGGTAACTCTGGCTCTTGAGAGTGGCTTGTTGACTGCTGGCTGCATAGCCCAGCGTTCTGCTGTGTTCCGGGTGGAAGAGGTGCCTGTGGCTGCAGGGCAACCCACAGACTGGGGCTTGGAACTCCTGTTTGTGCTGATTGACCATCAAGGCATGATGCTCACGGCAAAGTGTCATTTTTTCCTCCAGCATCTGTCCGACTGCTGTCCTGAGCCCCTCAGCTTCAGCACAGCTGCTGTACGCCTGTGATTTGTTTTTCACTGTTTTCTGGCTCTTGGCAGTGACTGGTGCTGGCTTGCTTTTTTTCACTGAAAAGACCCGCTGAAAAAATTGTTTGATGTCTTTTCCGAAGTTGCTTATCGAAGGAGGCTGTTTCTTGGACGGCAACAGCTGGAGGTCTTCATCCTGTCGGGTTTCTTCTGTTTTCGTGGCTGGGGTACGCTGGGGAGTCCTCAGTTCTTCAAGCCTCTCTTCACGTTTTTCTAAGTTGGGCTTCATTGGGTTCTCACTCTTGTGAGTAGGGGTAAACATCTGGTTCTGGCTCTTGCATGAGCCTTGACATTTCGGGTTCTTGGGCTCCTTGTGCCCCAGGTTGCTCCTTCTGGCTGCCATAAGGTCACGTAGCTCCTGGGAAGCCCGCATGTTCCTGGTAGGCATGCTCTGGAGACGGCCGTGGGGCACTTGAAAAGCTAAACTCTCTGTAGCAAGGGGAATGTCAGTAAAACCATCTGGAAGGAGCACAACGGCGCCACAAACTTGAGACTGGGTCTCTGATTTGGTGGCCATTCTGGGCTCAAATTCACTAATAACCTCTCCCATAAGATAGAGCTCTTCTGGATCATGGGAGACAGACATTCCAGGGAGCTGAGAGCCTTTACTGGTCCCTGGAGCCTCTAAACCACTCACATCCTTACGTGTGGCTTGGAGGTTTGCCGGCAGAAATGTTCCCAAGGGAACGCTGGGTTGTGGCGCTGCCTCCATGGTCTCTCCTGTCCTTGAAGATTGGGCTCCTAAGCTCCCGCTCTGCTGGGCGCTGCCTGTGAGGCTGCATGTGAGGGGCTTAGCAGGCCACCTGCCCTCCTGTCCAGCTGGAGGAGGCTTCAAGGGCCCATGGGGGTTCCAAGATGGGATCCCTTGTGGGGCCGTCTGGAACTGTGTAAATGTAGGTGAAGACACCAGAAGACTGTCTGGCGTCTGAACGGATGCTTTGGTCAGCACCTGCTTTCTCAGATCTGCGGGTGGTGACTCTCTTAGGAATACGGCTTTCTCAACTTTTGAGCTAGACTTAGATTCATAGGTGGCTGAGGAGCAACCAGCAAGCTGTGTCAGGGATAAGGATGAAACTTTTTCCAGCTTAAAGAGCTTAATGGGCCTGAGGACCCTGAGGGGTAGGCTCCACTTGTGTTTGGCCCAAAACCTCACAATATGGTGTCCCAGTGCCTGCTGAGTGCACGGATGGAGGAAGGAAAGCTCCTGGGATGTGTTCACACTGGCTCTCCCACTTTTCAGGGGTGCTAGATTGCTGGTATTCATGTGGGTGTTGGACATAGAAAAACCCTGGTTGACAGCAAGCCAGGATTGACGCACACAAATGGGGATCAAGCCCTCATTGATCTGCCCCAACTTCATGCCCACGTGGGCTTTCAGGGTGTTTTCTATACGATTTTTCTCTGTGCGTCTTAATAAATCGCTTTCCGAGTCTCTCCTCAAGGGCATCTTCAAGCCTCTTTCCAACCCCTCAGAGGCTGCCCCCAGAACGTTCCCTGGGAAGCTTTCCATGCACCTGGCTAGATTTTGCGGGGTCTGCCCCAGAATTTGCCCCAGAGGTGTGCACGGATTCCTCTCTAGCTGGAATGTCACCTTCTGTATGTCCTTGCTGCTTTCGCCCGTGGACATGGAGGACTGCAAGGATCTGAGTTTGCCCCCGGCCTGACTTGTCCCTGGCAATTTCTCCTGAGGCTGCATCAGATCCGGAGACTCTTGGGTCATTCCCAGGTTGCTCCGGTGTTGAATGAGCCACTTTTGAATGTGTTGCTCCAGTTGCCTCCGGAGTTCAGGACTGACTGGAAAGTTCTCAGGAACGATTGCTGTCAAGCTGTCCTGGGGAAGGTTAGGAGTGGAGGCGCTAAAGACGTCCTGAGGTTTTTGGGCCCTAGAGGGTAAAGCCAACCCACCTTCTAGTTGTTTAGAAGACCATTCAGGGCACTGCATTTCAGGTAAGGTGAGAGCTTGCGCCTTATTCTGCGACGCAGGGCAAGCTACTCCAGAGTTATTAATCGAGGATGCAAAAGCAGGAGATTGGACTGGGAAAGAGGATTGAAGACGGGCCTGAGCCTGCGCCTGAGCCATAGGTGACAGCTGGAATTGGGGTGTGGGTGAAATAAAGGGTTGGGACTCAGGCCTCAGATGGGACAGGTGCTGGCCCTGGAAAAGCAGTGGAGACATTGTAGTCTCTGTTTGAACTGGGCGGACATTGGGAATGCCATTGAACAAGAAAGGAGGAGACTGTAAAGTACAAGATCTCTCAGACACCCAGGCATTAGCCACCAGAGATTCGCTGTGCAGAGAGGGGAGGCCCCAGAAAAGCTGGCTGTAATTCTTCTGAAAATGTTCCTTCAGGATTCTAGGATCTGAGAGCTTCTGAGGACTGGACGACTGT